GGGCTCTCCGGTGATCTCTGCTTCTTTTTCTCGACTTCTGTTCGTTCTTAGCTTCTTGGCTTCTGTTGGTGTCCCCGTGAAGCTGCCCTTAAAAGCCCAGTCTTAGCCCAAGTAAATCCCATCTACCTATGCCCACACCCTACTCCAGGTGGCCACCATCAGGCATGCATTCAGGACCCCGCAAGGATCCATCATCTATCCTGATGGCGGGAGGGCAGAAAAGCCTGACATTTTTCCTTACCCTACAGTGGGCAAAAGAGTTACTAGTTTATACTAGTTGTATGCCCAAATAAATGAGTACAGGTGAAGACCAGCGTGGATAAAATGAGGTATGCCTAGAAGAAAACTGAATTCAAGACCTAGAAAGAAAATATACACATTTGATACTAGCCAACAGGCTTTCAAATACAGTGGAGGTTTTATTGCACTTGCTGAATTGGGCATTTTTAACAGAAAAACAAAAAGATAGCATTTTCCTTTTCTCCAAGATTTCTTTCAACATAAACCTCACAATGGACATAAAAAAATAATTGCGCATCCTCAATCTTCCTTACTGCTTCCGATCACATAATAATAAGTAAGCAACCATTTAATAATCATTAATAATAATTAAAGAGTGAATTAAAGAAATTACCAAAATATCTGCCACTCATCTCTTGTATTTGTTTTTCTTGAGCTCAGAGTAAACAAACCCTGGTTTAACTTAATTTTCCCCACCTGTACCTATTTCTTCTAAATTGGAAATAACCTAACTTAACCATGCCCTTTATTTGCACAAGCTTTCTCACTTGCACATAGAGAACACCAGCTCCCAAAGGCACGCCTTCAGCCACAAGCCTTCCAAAGAGTTGTTTCCAATGAAGAAATAAATCTCCCATGCTAATACCAGCACTGAGCCACAGTACAATGGAAAAGAAATACTGAAAGTGAATAAGAAAATAAGGCATTTGCTGCTGCAGTGTTGGTAATTGTTCAGCTACCTTTGAGTCTTAAAGGGGCGTAAGAATGACACCTACTAACTCTAATTTGATATATAACAAAGACATATATTTATATTTATATCTGCATATATTTTTCTTTTATTGTCTTCATAGATCTATATCAGTAGATATATAAATGGTTTCCTCAAGCATGAACACATAGATATCTTTAACTATTTTTGTATATTAGTTATTCAAAAATGCATTATAAATACCCCGGGGGAAACATGTCACTTTATTGCTTTGTTTATGAATTTTTTTTCTCATTGAAGTATTGTGATACTCTAATAAGTACATTAATGAAATATGTTTTATTAAATGCATTAAAAATAACAAACATATTTTGAATATGCTGACAAGAAGCAAAACTTTGATATGAGATAGATTTCAAAAGTTAGAAAAAATGAGATATAAAGCAAAGACATTTGTACTTGTGGCTAAATAATTTATTTGAAAAGCAAAAAATAATACTATTAAAGGAAGCTTTCACAAAGCCAAATACCCCTTTAAAATATAACAGAAAAATAGCAATATCCTGTCCACTAACCTGTCAGGCTTAGCTAACAATAGCACAATTACTCCTCATCACCACTAGGGGGCTTACTCCCCATATGTCTGGCTGAGCGGAGATGTCTCTATTGCCCCAAAGGTTGGAGGCAATGAGATTCTCACTGGAGTACAGAGAGGAGAAAAAATGATCCCTTAGAAGATGCAAATCTAAAATGTTGAACAAGAAAACATCTTCAACTCCTTTATCAGTCCTCATCAGAACTGTTTTTACAGAACAAGATAATTAGAGAAGTTTGCCCGACACTAGAGGCATGCAGAAGGTCAGAGGGAAACCTCATAGCGCATTCAGTGTCCATGCCCAAATAGTCTCCTATACTTTTCAAATGTATCCATAAAGATAGAAAGATATCAATCAGGAAAAAAGAGTGAAAGAGAAGACACATCACCTTAAAATTAAAACAAATATAACAGCAAATCACATTATCTACTTTTAATTGAATTTGGAAATTGACTGGAAGAAAAACTAAGGATTAAGGATTAAAAATAAATTAGTACAAGATGGGAAATTTACAATGGAGAGGAAATTTATTTTCCTAGATTTATAAGATGACTTGCAACAATAAACTGCATTTTAGCAAAGAGAATATAATAAGGCAGTAGCCATAGAAGCTTATAACACCATCCAGTATAGTGCTATAAAAAGCTTCACCATCTGGATCCTAATTCTCCTCAATATTGAATCAGTAGAGTGTTTTCTTCTCTTCATCCTAATTTACAGCTATCATTCACTGTGGCCCCGAAGGGTGCATACAATGTGTCATTGTTAGAGAGAGTCTGTAATCCAAGGCAATTTGGGGAAAATCAGTTTGGGAGTATAACTGCATGGTTTTCCCAGTGTTCAACACCTGTTTGCATTTCATGAAATCTTATAAGTTTGGCTTGTATTTTATTTCTTTTTTCCTTTTGCCTTGGTCAGCATAATATGTGAAGCTGTCATGCACATGGAAAAATATAAGTGGACTTTACTATCAACCTTATCCCACTTTTGCTGAGAATTGACTTGTGTGTGATCTAAAAGCACTAAACATAATTCACTTCTTGAAGTTAATTCAGAGTACTCATTGTCTTTATTTCAAAAATACCACCACCACCAAGCTACGCAGGAAAGGATATTGGATGTACGGGGGAATAATGTATATCAAAATTTTAAAAGTTAGTGACTAGAGAAAAATATGGTGACCAAGAAATCATCACCTCTAGTTTCAAATAAATTAAAATTGATTCTCTCTCAGTAAAACAGCACTAAATGGTGATCAATAATGTGCAAGCAACTGCCTAACTCTTAACCCACCTCACAGATATACAACAGGAAGAAGGTGGAGTGAGGGAGACAATGAATGAAAAAGCTAGTTTAACAACTAAATTAAATAACTTTTCACCTCTACAGAAGAGTAAAAGTTTTGATCTCTTAAGTTGCTTGCTGAATTGGTCATCATTTATAAAAGAAAAACAAAAAGATAGTGTTCTCTCTTTCTCCAAGATTCCATTCCAAACATATTCCTGACATCTGAAATAATAAAAAAAAAAATTATGTACCCTCACCCTTCCTAACTGCTTCTGATCATCTGATATTACTAGAAGCAATAGCAACACCTGGGATTGAACCATCAGTCGCCACAGCAGCATGGAGAAAGTAATATGAGCAAATTTATTCCAAGGTTGCAAATGAATAAAAGTGTGAAGTGGTAAAAAGTAAAGTATTGTCTTGGTGCATTTATTACTGTAGAGCAGACTGTGGCATCTATCATCAACTTATCTTAAGAACAGCCAAAGTAGAAACCAAAGACATTAATGGGAGCTGGAAGCAATGTAAAAAATATCTGTGTTAAATATTTGTCATGAATCAAGTCTTCATCAAGCAATAAAAGGGACTGGATATATTAAATATGAATGACAAGTTCCTCTTCCTTTCAAGAGGCAGCAGACAAGTTCACACATGGTCCTTTTGCTCAGAGCATTCCCAGAGTTGTCAGAGGTGACAGTACCTAGCAGGTCAAGCTGGAAAATCCTTAATGCCATGGTACACCTTGACTTTTAAGTACAAACCTATGTCTGTCTAAAGTCATCTGCCACAAGCCCACATCAAAACTGAGGTCACCATATCAAGATACAAATGTTGTCAAAGCAAGTTGTGGCTTACAGGCACTTCGAGAAGGGAATGAAAAGAGACACTAACTTTTGAAGAGTAACACAATAAAAAAAAAAAAAGCTGCTTGTAAAAACAGTCACAGAAACCTGTGTCCTCTGTTTAATTCACTGCTCACTGCAAACTCCTTTAAAACCTTACTTTTGGACTTGATGATGACTCACAGGTACTGGGTCTCTAACGTGCATATGGAACATGTGTCTTCTGAAGAACATTTTCATGTCATTTCAACTCAATTGGCTAAATTATTCCTTATTATTCTCTCATAAAACTTCTCATGAGACGACATGCAAGCAATACCAGCGAATATCTAGGGTATGTTAACGTGTTATAAATGTTTTCCTTTATTATCATTTCTTAGAATTTTGGCTAAGAAACGTGTATAGCCAAGAAATGTCAGGGATGATAACATATATAGATTAACAACACTAAGGCAAGGGGACTTGAATCAACAGAACAGAGTTTTGTTTGGGTTTTACAAAGATAGATCTGTTAACTAAAAACACACTAAATGCAATCTTACAAGCTAGCTCATTTTCTCAGAAGAAAATGCATCCAATTAATTCATAACCACGTCAAATAATGTTTGCCCACCTTCCCACAACAGGCAGACTGATCTCAACCCCAAAACATCCCCTCTTCAAATCTATATTCTCTCTCTCTCTCTCTCTCTCTCTCTCTCTATATATATATATATATATATATATATATATATATATATATGTAAACTCAGCAAGATGAAAGGACATTTGCTTCCAGGCTTTCTCTGACAAATACAACAATAATTTACATGAATATTAAACTTCTGTGATTCAGCATCTTTCACTCCTATCTATATCACTGAATGTTAAATGCTCAGAAAGAGTTTGAATCACTTGGTTATTATTTTGGAAGTCTGAGGTATGGTTTCACAGTCTAAGAAGATAATATTTAAAGATCTTTAAACTGCACACGTGGAGTTGCATAACAATCGTCAACTCACAAGAAAGGTTAGAAACACTCCTGCCAAGTGTGGAGTTGCCTATGAATCACAGAATGAGGCTACATTTCTTATGCAGAATATTTGCAAGGATGGGAGAAAGAAGTAGTTACCATTTGCATCAAAACTTTAATCAGAAAAATCATTGCTGAACTATCAAGCCCTTATCACCCTACTTCCTTTAGAGGAAAGGACTGTCATTTAAAGTAAATGCTATGATTAAGAAGGTTTTTGCAATCTCTAAAACAGGAAAGAGCAAGCTCCTACCTGAAAGTGGATGGTGAGGTGGCTGGTACGTTAGAGAGAGACTAGGGAGCAGTCTTACCTTCAGCACGGAGCAGCCTTCTCCCCAGGCTGACCTGCTTCTGCAAGAGGATACCCTCCTGTCAGGACTGGGGAAGCAGTGGGGAAGAAGTGGCTGTCAGCCACTTGCTGTGACAGCAGCGTGCTGCCGGGTCCCTGGGAAACGGGGATGCAGCGCTCCTCCAACAGATCAGGCAGCCAGGAAGCTGCGACTGCAGTTGCCAACACCGCCTCACTGGAGAGGAAGGCGCTGCTGGGAGTGCGCGCGTGTGTGTGCGCGCGCGTGTGTGCGCGCGTGTGTCTGTGACAGCCGGCTCCAGGCCGAGCAGATGTGTTCTGCATACTCAAAATGCTCATGCAGGGAAGAGACTCCTCCACACGGACCCCAGTCTCCCCGCCAAGGAATCAGTGCACTGACCTTGCTGCTGGGGATTCTGGCTGAGCAGCTCACCCATCAATAGATTTAGCCATCAATCAAATAAAGGAGATGGTATCAGCCTCAGAGGGAGACAAGTACTTCCCTCGTAGGCACCGAAATTAATAATAATAAAAGATATTCCCGCTCAAATTTTATGTGTGGAATTGATTTTTTCCCCCTTAAGCACCTGTGTCTTGAGCACGAAGTCTAATTGATGAGTCCCTAAGTTAAAACTTTTCAGGCAGTTTCTCTAGGCAGGGTGAGATCTTAGCTAGAAGTTCATGGGGAATATTTATTCTACAGAAATCTGTCAGGTCTAGACTTGGATTTATAACTACCAAATTATGACAGTTTGAACTAATAACCCCAAATCAGGGATTCCTCCTCAAAGGGATAATATCTGGGACTAGAGGCAGGATCTGTGTTCAAATTCAACTTAGGTTTTCTTTAAACATGAATCCAATGCAAGTAGGAGAAAAGACCTGTGCTCTGAGCAAGTCATTTAATGTACACATGGAAATGCTTTGTAAACTATGAAGCATTAGGCATAAATTACAGATTTTATAAAGCTGGCACATAGAATGTGTAAGACTATGAGATACAAAGGATACTGTTCAGGGTCTGTTCCCTAAATGACATTAAAGTGTTTAATCCCTGCAATTTCAGATTCTAGAACTGACTCATCTGTAGCCACAAGAGAACTAACTTGCTATTGAACATAGATCATTTACCAGATCCAATCCCTGAAAAAAAGACTGGGAAACTAAGGGGAAATTGTCTTCCCTAAATTAAACCCCTGCCACTCACAATAGTAGACCAAACTCAAAGAACTGCAATGATAGAATAAAATAATAATAGAAAAGAATAGAATGGGAATGAAGATAGTGGGTCCATCTGATATCTACCATGGTGTCCTTTCGTCCCTACGTTTTCCTTGATGACAACCAAGATGAAAATGCATACATTGTGCAAAAATGAAAAATGATGTAAAAAATATATAAAATTAAAAAAAAATAAAAACTGTAGAGGAAAAAAAAAAGTTCACCAAAATAAATAAATAAATGAATAAAAGACCATCCCTGCTACCAGCACCAAGCACAGCAAGCCCAAAATGGAAGCTGGCATTTGTTGAGTGCTTACTACTTGTCAGGCACATTGTGGATAATTGCATTCATTATTACCTTTAATTGTCACAACAATGTCAAGAAGTAGATAACACTGTACACATTTGGCAGATTAGGAGAGCAAGTGATAGAACAGAAAAATCATGGACTGATGATTTTTTTCAGAGATTATTTTTATAAATTTAGGCAAATATGCAAAGTATTTAATTTAAAAATCTTTTTATTTGGGAATAACTACAAACATACAGAGATGTTGAAAGAATAAGTATGATACAATATTGCACTTTGATTAGATTTATTTGTTATTAAATGTAATACTTCTGCTTTATCACTTGATCTGTAGATAAATAAAAGGGAGAGATAAGAGATAGAGATGAGAGAGACAAAGAAAGATAGCTATTTAAGGGCAGTATGTATTTATCATGCTCTTTTTTTTTTAAGATTTATTTATTTATGCATACAACTAATGGGATATAGGCCAGAGATGTAGGGGGTGAGAGGATTCACCAGAGACAAAGTGGGGAACAGAACAGGCAGTTGATAGAGAGCTTTTCAAGAAAAGAAATGTTCACTTCTCCTTCTGTATAAAACTCCAAGATATAAATGCAAAGAACTGTGTACATCTTGCTGTAAAGCGCTGTCCATGGCTGACGAGACGGTGTCTGCTGGGCTGGCTTTACTGTCCAGGGCCTGAAAGGCTCTTGTTCATGAACTGTCTCTTCACAAAGCAAGTCCACCACTTGCTGGGTTTATCATTCTGTGGGTCAAAAACCTTCTCGCAGAGTCTCAATCCGGTCTCTTGCCTCAGCTGCTGTAAGTAGGCCTTCATCACTTCATTCTCCTTTTTGTTGGCAGGTTTGGCATAAATTGCATTTAGTGGAAACCCAGGTTCTCTGGGAATGGGGAAATTCGTGATTCCCAGCGTGTACATTTCTTTCTCACCTTGGCTTCTGGAATTGCACTTTTGGAGTTTCTTTAGACACTCAGAAATATAGAGAGTGATATATATCAAGGTCCTATCAGCTTCATTCTTAATTTCATAGTTTTTGAAGAAGACATTGGCTTTGAAGTAATAGATGGCTTCATTCACAATATCTGTATCTTTTGTCTCTCTAGGGGCAGGTCCTTTGAACTGACTCCTGATAGGCAAAAATGCCATGTTGCCAATCAGTCTGGTTTCGGGGTCCATGAGAGGAGTGATAAGCCGGTATCCTGGCAGCGTCCTAGTGTTAGCAGAGGGGCTATCATGCTCTTTTACTAGTTATTTCCATGTATATTGCATACGAGTAGCACTATTTCTCCATATAATTAAGTATACTTTCATCAGCTTCAGAACACATAACATTAATACAAGCTTAATACAAGTTACTGTCCTTTTTAAAATCTGTCACCTGAACCAATAACACCCAATAGTGCATTTTTCTTCTAGGACAGTATATAATCGAAGGCCATATATTGCAATTAGTTGTCATGTCTCCTTTAATATGGAAATTCCAAAACTGTTCTTTTGCTTTTATGGTATTTGGAAGAATGAATTTCCCTCTTTATTTTTTATTTTATTTTATTTTATTTTATTTTATTGTTTTTTTAAAGATTTATTTATTTACGCATACAAGAGCTGGGGTATAGGCCAGAGGCGCAGGGTGGTGAGAGGATTCACCGGAGACAGAGTCAGGAACAGAACAGGCAGAAAGACTGAAATACACTGCTGAGGGGAGCAGCAGGCGAGACAGGAGAGGTCTGCTGAGCCATGTGGGTTGCTACCTGGCCAGCCAGGTGATCAAACTCATGCTGCAGAGACTGCAGATAGCTTCATAGTGTGGTGCTTAACCCCTTGCCCCACCAGAGAGGCCCCCCTCTCTATTTTTTAAATAGAACATTCAAAATTTTTCACTGGCTTTTTCCCCTAATGATTAAATTCAGCTTAAGTATTGTCAGTTGCAACATTGCATAATTGCTGTTTTCTCTTCTCAATCTATTTATATAAAGACATATAAGGTCCATCTACCCCTCTTGATTCTGTAAGTTTTTATTATCCAATTATGTGTTTTCCCCTATTTTATACTTTTTAAATTCTCCCTTGCAAATATGAAAATTCTAGAAAAATATTTTAAGACTACACACATCTTGCATCCATCAAAATTTCTCTTATAATGGCATAATAATATTTATTGTTGCAAAGTAATGTTTCCAACTTCAGTATTCTTGACACCCATATGACACAGGTATTCTACTATTAGCAAGGTCCCACCTTTCCCTGAGATCTCTCTCTCTTTTATCTCTATTATCAGAAAGTATTCATGAATTTCCATTTTTTCCCAAGGATCTAAAAATCATTATTGTTCCTAATATTTTATTGTTCCAAGTTTTGTGAGTGGGGCCTTTCTAGCTAATTCCCATGTCTTTATAACATGTCACATCATATTCAGCATCTTTTATTTTTTTTTAATTTTTATCTTTAGCTTTATGGAGAAAATAAAATGTTCCAAGCTTGTATTAAATGTGCCTTATTATAGTTCTAAAACTATCCATCCCTTTGTGAACCCCTGATTTTTGCTTTTACTTTTTTAAGTGAGGCACTGTGGCAGAGGGAACATTCTGCCACATACGTTCATAGACCCACACACGTATATACGCAACTACATGCACACACATACACCCAAACAAGGGAAATGAGATGCATCCTCACACTGATAATGAGCAAACTCCTCAACTAGGTGAGTGAAGCACATCTGGCAATAATATGGTACCCTTTTCCTCTTCACTGGGGTGATGACAGGGCAACCCCAAAATGGTCTCATCAGGGACCACAGGTAAACTTGAATTTCTACCCCTGACCAGCACTCATGAGCAGCCCGATGTTGAAATTCCATGAAAACTAGGTGGGGAAGTTGGATTTTCATGTCTACCCAGCAGAATGAGACTGTGTCTGCCTTTCCCTTGCCAGAACAGAGCTAGAGGAAGTCTGCTAAAACATAGGTTTAAATAAGTTCCAGAAGATAAAAATAATAATAATAATAATAATTTGAAAATCAGTCTGGTTACAATAAAAAATACTCATTAATTCAGGAATGATGAAAATCTCAAACCAAATGAAAAAAATCACTATCAATAGATGCCAACACATAAATGACAGAGGTGTTTGAATTACTTTATAATGATACTATGCAGCCATGATAAAAATACTTTAAGTGATAGACATACTTGGAACACATAAAAATACAGGAAACATCAATAAAACAGGAAGCCTCATTAGAGAAATAGAAGATATAATGAAGAAATAAATGGAAAATTTATAATAAAAAGATAAAATATTGAAAATATAAGCTTGAAATAGTACTATAATTATAATTATAAAATAGTTGAAATATTAGCTGACAGGAAAGGAAAGGGGAAATAATCAGTGATTTCAGTAGTAGAATAATAGGAAAAAACTCACCAACAAGGAGAAATATTCTGGGAAAGAAATAAGCAGAGCCTTGGAATCCATAGACTTACACTAGAAATTCTCACATTCATATTAATGCTGTCTGAATCATAGGAGAGAGAGAGAGAAAGAGAGAGAGAGAGAGAGAGAGAGAATGGTTACAAATTCTGCAAAGTTGTCAAAAAATATAAACCTGCAGGATCCAGAAGAGTGAACTCTAAAAAGAATAAATAAAAATGAATATGCTCCAGGACACACCATGTTTAAATATC